TTGTGGTTGGTGCAGAGGAATATCCAACTAAAACCACAATACTGGGTCAAAAAAATATCTAAATTTTAAAAGTTGTTCAGCCCTAAATCCTCTTTTTGCCTTTCCAATACATCCGAGGTCTAATAACATAAAAATTGTAGCTTTTTTTATTTTTTTTATGAATCTTAAAACTTCTAAAGCATCATGAAAACCTGTTTAGTTTTTCAAAATTTTTAAAGAAAACCTACAAGGACAGAAATGTCAGCATGTCTTTAAAACCGTTAAATACTCTTACCTTTTTTATGTATTTTGCTCTCACAACCGAAAGCATTTCTTAAGAAACGTGTTCCAGAGAGGAAGTCATACGAGAGATCCCTATTTCCTTCATGCAAACAGAACCGTATCTGTAACCACTGCGATGTAAAATCCTTGTGCACAAAACGCTGAAGCAGCAGTCGCATTTGTTCACAGCTTAAAGGCTGCGTCTTTGACCAGAATGAAAGGCAGTGAAGAGGAGGCACATGTTCACATGTGTGCACAGCCGTGAACCATACAGTGTGCATGGGAAGTGATGCACTGAGTGGTTAGATGCATCACTTTGCAAAGCGAGCAGCGTTCACAGGACAAAAGGGCCTTTCACTGTGTGAAGTCGTTTTGGAAGATCTTGACAAATATTACACGTTTAACTCATCAGGCAGGATTACAGCCCTCTGTTTGATTTAGGCTCCTCCTCCCCGCTAACTAAACAGAGTACGACTGTGCTGCAATACCTTTTGGGAAGCAAAGACCAAATCAAAGGCAAATTACTTTCATGTTCTTCTCTTCTGCGGCATTTGAGATTAGAGACAAGCTGGCCCTGCTTTATACTGTTATATTCAAAGATTTACACAGGCTTCCTTTGTTGTTTTAACTCATTTGGAGAAAAATGTAGGGCTTTTACCACAAAAGCTTTTCACTAAGAAGCTGATTCTTGTTTGGGGCCCATCTTTGCTTGAAGAAAATCTTGGAAGGAGCAGCAGAACATGGAGAGCCCTGAAGGAAGGTTCTCTGAAACCCAACTACATACTTGTGGTGGTTTCTGCGTTAAAGCCCTGGCTTACATCTGTCATCATGACTGCTTTCTGTGCACTGTGTTGCTATAGTAACAAAGCACAGGCATATCTTCAGAAAGCTTCAACTGTGTGGGTTACATATTGCATTTGTACGACTACCCTACTAATCAGAAACAAGCTTGTTTTTTGGCCGCCTGCGGCATATAACAACAATTCTTTCTGTTGCTCTTAAAGTCGTACAAAATGAGCGTTACATCTGTAAAGTCGTCTGTCAGCAGGTTCTTAATACCGATCAACTGATGGCGGTAAAGCCGGGCGATATTTTCAATTGTTGCACGCAGCTACAGCTCACACTGTACGGTTTAAACTGCAGGGTTTAAAAGTTCGCAGCTCACGATGTTTGTTCTCTGATGCGATCTACCTGCTCACACTGTACGACTAAGAACCAGGTGGGACTCAGCTCCGCAGTGAGATGGCGCTACTCAGACTCGTCTATCCAGAAGCCAAACGAGCAGAAGAGGAATATGAAGCTCACTAGAGTGAAATGCGCTGCCTTGGCAATTTGTGCAATTTTGTGCTGAAAGCCCTAAAAATAAAAGGCGACAACATATTTGGACAAAGACATGGCTGAGCAAACATGGCTACTACGGTCTGTCAGTTTTATAGGAATAACTCCATTTCGCTCACACCCCCACCATGCTTCTGTGTTTTAATCTGAGAGGAAGAAGAAGAAGAAAACTTGTTTGCGCACTGAGCGATTTGCCCACGGCTACCTTACGAAGGCCGGCTGAATTTCAAACGTTTGACTATCTTTTTTTTTTTTTTTTTTTTTCTTACTTGCTTTGATTCTGTTTTATCTTCCTGTATTTTAATCATGTAAAGCACTTTGCATTGTCTTTGCACTGAATTGTGCTATACAAATAAATTTGCCTTGCCTTGCCTTGCCTT